GCCTAAAGAGAAAAAAAAGGTAGAAAAATATCTGCACACTTTTAGCACAGGGAGCTCTAATTTCATTTGAGGTCTCTAGCTATTAAAATAAATCCATTAAAAAAAAATCTATTATTTACAAAAAAAAAAAACATACACAAAACCATGCCGTCAACTTGAAACTGTCTTCTTCCTGTGAAATCCAAGTTTCCATAGCAGACTATTGCCCAATCGCCTTGAGATTTTCAAATACACAAATATTTTTCATGACAGAGCAATTATGATGAAGCTCCTTATTTACATTGGTGTGGTTTACACAACATACCTTTTACAGTCCCACAGAAGTGTACCAGTGCTGAATGCCTGTCAAAAACCTGAAGTTTGCAGCATTGAAAAGGAAAAAAAGCTCACAACCAACCACTGCTAACGTGTTGAATATTTGAAGTACGTGCAAGCACACGCTAAACTGATAGGTTATCACCAACCACTGTAGCAATAACAATGCCTACATACTTCTGGAAGGAAATACAAAGTCGTGGTGAATTTTTAACTTTGAACATTTGTTCATGCTTATAAGAGATACCAACCTGATGACCTCCAAGGCTTAAGTCATATATTCATCCTTAGGACAAGAGAATACTGGCACGAACTGGGGAGCTGGTGCTGCCCAGGATACACCTCCTCTGTCCTGCCTGGAGACGAGCCTTTACGGCTGGCAAACACCCACCAGCCCCTCAGCAGGAGGACTGAGACCACAACTCCTTTGAAACACCGGGTAACGCCCCATTACCAGTTCCACAGAGCCACCCTGTCATTTTATCTCACAGCACACTTAACGATCTTGAACTTCTTTGAAAACTCACCAGAATGTTATGACTCATGCTTAGATCAATAGAGTGCATTCATCCCTCAGCAAAGGATCAAACCTCAATGAAACGTTATCGCCTATTAAACACTACAGCTGCTTCTTCCCCTTCCCCACTTCCCTGATCCCATTGCAGCACATTTAAAGGGAATTTAACACGCCTGGCAGAATGACACACGGGATCCTACAAGGCACACGCTTCGCTACAGCTGCTGTAACTTCAGCAGGGCTCCATCATATTACCTCCACCTCAGCTGCAACTGAAGCTGAAGAGGTTTCTCAGGTTTTGGGGAACAGGAAAAATCTCCATTAAAGTGCAGGGCAAAGAGCAGTAGCACAAGACCACAATCACAATAATTTTGGGAATGGCAATATTCAAATACACTGCAAACAGCCCTATTTGTATACACACAGTATTTAAATGGTAGAATAAAAAGGTATCTGCCTCTGTGGGATGGAAAAGATGGAGGTTAGGGTACAGACCAGCCTGAAATACGGTGAATGAGGGACGCGGTGAGGAGCACATGCAATACCAGTGCTGGGAAAGGAACCAGACAGACACTGTCGTGGTGTCGGCCCTTTACACCGACTCACGAGTCACCTTTTCGAGTCACTGACTTCTACGGTAGAACTGCTCATGCTCGAAGTTTCTAGGAGCTAGAAATCTTCAGTCTAAGGAAGTCTCACTACATTGGAAGTATGATGGAAGTTCAAGCTCAGCTTGTAGTGCAGATGCCTCCAAAGACATAGGCTGTTTACCACTGACTTGCCTGTTACAAACTCTACAAGCAGAATCATCTTTTCTTAGAGCTTACCTATAGGCATGAAACCTGACCACCATTAAACCTAAAGGCAGCACACTTTAGAAACAGCTTCTCTGGAAAATGATTACTCATTCATGGTTACTCATGGAGATTAGTTAACACATGATACATTAGCATACAGTACTAACATCCAGGATCTGAGTAGCCTACTAATTCAACAACGGCACTCCTCCCTGCCTTTGTTGACCAATTTTATAGCCTAAACCAAATTAGCTACATATCCGAATCTGTATGCTAGAAACGTTAGCCAAATGCACTCAGTAAACCACCAAACCAGTTTTTGTGAAGTCTTGTTGCACCATGCTGCAATCCTGTAATTCATCAGCATTTACATCTGATGCAAGAAATTCTGGGATTCTACCTAGGATCAATGCCATGCCAGTCAGCTTGCTGTATCAGCATAGTAATGATTTTCTGCTCCATGACACTTTGCTGGTACTTCATGGTTTACTTAAGTATCAACATCAGTACGTTTCACATGGGAAATTACTTACAACATTATGAATGCATGACACCCACCTTTAGAAACTGCACTAAAATAATAGAGCCACTTACTCCTGGAACAGAAAAATGCCATTAACGCTGTCACAACAGAAATATTCCACACTTCTGCTTTTTTTGCACCATTTTGAATCATCTTAGCATCCATACGAGGCAATGAATTCCACAATATATTACAAAAAACTCCTCCTAGTTCTTCACAAGACATTTTTTTCATGGATAATTTTTATCTTTCAACCTTAACATTTTAATTTGCAAACATCAGCTTCCTCAGTTTCTCTAACCCTGAATCCATTCAAATACTGCTTTTAGTTCTCCTAACCAGAATATACTTTTACATACACCAATAGCAGCATTTTTTCCTCCTCTTGGTGTGAAAGGGGAGTGGGAAGAGACTGACAGAAGAAGAATGTGCAGCTTTTCTTAAGGAGCTCCCTTTATTCACCTTGATTAGAAGATCGGAAACAAGTAATTTGCCTCATTTATAGTTCTAGAAAACAATCTCTTTCAGAACAAAATATATGCATAATGTTGATCAGCCTTACGTTTACTCTACAGAAAACATTTAGATTGTGAACACTCGTTCAGGCAGCTGTGTACCTTCAGCCCACTGATCATCTTTGCTTAAGAGTCAATCCTTTCAAGCTGTAGAAGTTCAGCCAACGTTTTAGTTTTTTACAGAATCCTTATTTAGGCAAAGTCATAAGCAACTGAAGATAACCCTTTGGGGATGAATTGCTTTCCATGCTGGATATCCAACTGTCTTCTTTTAATGAAGCATCTTCTCCCAAAAGGTTCACTTAACTTGTTTTGCATAATAACAGGAAGGAAAAAAAAAGTTAATTTAAAATATTCTGGTAATTCTTTTCTTTGAAGAGTTCTCTCGCTTCTTTCCCAATCCTGAATGCTACAGTGCCATAGCTAGGAGGAAAAAGAAGGAAAAAAACCCCCAACCATCCCCCAAACCCACACAGAACAACTTCTCGCAATCTTCTTGAACATCTGTCAATATCTGGGAAGCTGATAAAAACTCCTGAAGACAACCTGCATAAGGTTTGTTGCCTACACAGACTTTTTTTCACCTCAGTGGTTACCGTGCTGGTCTTCCTGGGATTCCCGCTTCAATTCCGCTTTGGATCAACTCGCATGAAGTAAAATGCTGACAAGCAAGAGCTAAACTTGCAAGGGGCTGGAGAGACTGGACCTAGCTGGGCAAAGATGCTACGTTTGTACTAACAAACTGAAGAGTCTCATCCCACAATCATCCAAAGTTAAACTGCTGTCACAGTTTTTTGGCTTGCGCTCATTAACAAGTTTCCAAATCACATACTGCTTGAAGTTCAGTGTGGGCTAGGAGCCACTCTCACAGGCAGCCTGCAGGCAGCTGCCCTGCTTTGGAAAGTAGAAGTTTAACCATCAAGAAGTCATTTTGGTCTCATGACTACGGAGCTATCTCTGGCACTGCAACTACAGGAACAGACATAGAAGAGAGAAGGGGGGGGGGGGGGGGGGGGGGGGG